ATGTGGTGCCTTAAAAACCATGAACAAGGTGTAATTAATAATAAGTTAAAAAGAGTCATCGAAGTTGTATAGTCCTTTAGAACAGCAAGTTTTATGCATCTAATGCCAACAAATGTACGATTTACGAGGAAACTTTATCTTGTGTTAGATACAGAAATATGAGATTATATTAGTCTAACGTTAATTTTAAATCAGTATTAATTAATTGAAACAAAATCGTGGTGTAACAACCTAATAGCAATAAGTAGTAACATTAGACCATGGTGGCCATCTATGAGAAAATTTATTTATTAATATATAAATAATGAGAGCTAGATCACAGGGAGCAAACATATGAATCATTGGGGCTTGTTATTAGACAAGCTTTATAAATAATTGAATTGTCAATCTTTTTAATGAAATTTAGCAGTGCATTTTAAAAGAAATTCCTGTTTATATTTATAACAATAAGTTAGAAACAGATTCTAAATTATACATTCTAAGATTCACTTACATATTCCAATTGTTTTTTAGTACAAAAGAATTCTAATGTACAAAAGTCCGTTGTATTGTGTTATGGAAATTTATTCTTCTCTATGTCTCTATCATCTTTAAAAGTTCAAACGTTACTAATTACACAAAGTAACTTTCAGAACAAATATCACACTCTGTGCAATTAACCTATCAATTTATAATTCTATTTAGAGCAATAAATGTACATTGAATCAAGAAACAAAACAAATGCCGTTTAGTACACAAACTGCACTTTGTATTAATCACAATACACGATTTCTATCGTTAGGATATTGTAAGAATTTTATCATAACCATCAGAGAAAGTAATAAAACTGTACATGTTTACAGTTGCATAGATCGATACACTTTATTCGTTGATCAATAATTTAACATTGTGAGCCCGTAATTTATTGCGACAAAATGTATTATTTGTATGCATTATGTGAAAATAGTTTTTAATGATAAGGAGATTCTCAGAGGTTTAATTTTCATTGCACATTTTAAGGGTCTCCAGTTACTCGTAGAAAGTGCCTAAACAAATATATATAATACAATAGGAATTATGAAAACAAATTTGTTTTCATGTATAATGTAATTAATTTCAACCGTTTTATTCTCTTAGTCTAAAGTATAAGGCTGTTACCATGGTCAGAATTTTGAATACTATTGTAATTTAATTATCACCGAAAGGCACTCTAGGAAATAAACATCGCTTTATTGTACTACAATATTTTATAGTATTCTGTGTAATATAATGTGTTTTTATGTTCTTTGTTCAGAACATTATCACATACGTATAGTAACACCGAATGATAATGCAGTTAGAAGTTAAGCGAAACTCATTACTGAATTTAATTACAGATGCATTGCGGTGAGTTTTTATAAAGTTTAATGCTGTTAGCAAAAGGTAAAATAGTTCAGAATGCAAATACAGGGAGAAAATACTGTTTGTAGACATATCCACTTGTTAGATTTGCAATTCATAAAAGTGTAATATCCGAGAACGTATAAGTAATTCCAATACAAGCTAATATATCCAGAAAGCAATTGTAACTGTGTGTTATATTTATTAAGTACAAGATACGTTACGATATTCTGTAACGACATTGCTGTTTTCTATTATACATGTACATCGCATGCATTCTATAGTTAAATTTAGATTACAATAAAGAACTGCACAATTACATTGTATAGATAAAATAAGCAAGAGAACGTGAAACTGATCTGCAAAAGTTCAATATAACGCTATGCATAGGTATTTCGTTGACATTTATCGTTTATTTCAAGACTAATTTGTAACATACAATATTTAAATTTATCCTAAGTTACACGACAGTGTCAATGTACATAAGAAAACACGGCCATACATTTTCTAAATATTAAGCTTTAAGTTTGAGACAACTGTTATTCTAAAATCCCACTTCTTCCTAATTCTCGTCAAATACAAGGAAAATTTGTTTCGTAACGATGTTAAATCAATGTGGGATTAAAGAATTACTGACTGCTAAAAGTAAAAGAAATCACGAAACATTCTTATCTTATATTTTAAAATATAGTTTATGTGTTATAATGTCTATCCTCCCATTGACAATATGTTTTAAAATATATTATTGTTAGAAGTTAAAGCATCAAATTTACAATATTTTTTAAAATTCCTACTTCCCCTATAAACATAATCTATCAACGATTTACGTTGTTATTTCTGCGTCTGTTAATATTCGAATAATACGATTGAAAAATGAAATCTTTTTTTCATATTTGTATGATAGAAAAAATAATTGAATACGTAATTATGCATCTTGCAAAACTAACAAAATCAAATCACGCCTAGTTACTTTATGAATCGTAAATTAACAAAATATTGATTTTGAGGTTATGTTCTAACGCTCTATATACAAATTATTCGTGCTCTATAGTTTTTTGAAAAATTTCAAATTTAGACATTGTTGATAATGAAACCCTAAGGTTAAAAACAAGCATTAATGTTTATTAACATATGCCTGATTTTCATGTTGCATTTTCTAACTGCTCGCATAATAGCAATACATAGTCCCTAAGAAAGTACGTTTCGTTTCTCGTTCGATAGTTTCGTCCTCGAATAAAACGAGAAGAATAGTTGTATTTACTTTCGTATTTATGTTTCTAATTAATTAAAATAACAAAATATTAAAATAAGAAGAAGTTTTCTTTTCATTTCGAGGGTATATGCGTAGAAATCGGTGACGTTATATTTTATCGAATTATAGTGACGAACAGCACGTCCTTCGGCTGGACAACGTCTAATTAACAATGAACAATAAGTGTCGAATGAGGTATGCCGATATTGTTTACATCAAAACATCGAGCTGTCAATGGGGAAACGTATTTTCGATGTTTGAGCCGAGAACGCGTTCGTTGAGAAAGTATTCGCTTTAAAGTGACAACTTATGTATCAATATGGCGGCGAATCTTGAGGAAGAGCAAAGTTTGAGAGAGTGCGAGGAATACGTGCAGAGACACAATATTCAACAAGTTTTGAAAGACTGTATAGTGCAACTGTGCGTGGGTCGTCCTGAAAATCCCATATCTTTCTTGAGAGAACATTTCCAGAAACTGGAACGGGTACGTATTCAATTGCATTTTTCGTAAATAACCTTAGATTTATATTCCTTTGCCTAGTTTTTCTCTGGTTGCAAATTATGAAACTATCCAGTTATTCCATAAGTAATATTTTTTGTGAACTATTTAACAAAGTAACTGGACATGACATATATTCAACCACTTAGTATACATATTAATGTTAATAGAGGTTTCCTTTCAATATCGTATAAAAATTTGACAAGTATACTGTGCTTCTTAAGTTGGACTGTTTATAGATGCATAATTACTCCTTGTATATGTTCTTGTATTTTGTTTTCATAAAGGAATATTTGCATATTTAACATTGACTAATTTCTGTATCGTAAAGAGAAGTCAGTTTCAGAATGAATTGTTAGTTGTATCGTATCAGGTGTTTTATGTAGCTTTCGATGTTACAAGAAAGAAGAATTTGATTAAGGATCTATACTGTCAAAGATGAATCATATACTTTTGGACAAACAAGGGACAACACACAATGCCAAGCGTTTGCTTAAGATAAAGAGAGTAGAACTTTATAAAAGAAGATGAGATTTATATTTTAAATGTGTACTTGGAAAAGTCTTATTACTTATGGACAGACTTATGAGGTTTACAACAAAACCTCTGTTGCTATTTCCTATACTCTAAATATTTAATAAAGTAGATTTTAATCTACTTATTTCTTCCTCTGTGTTGTAGCTTAAGTGGTTTTCTAGCAAAGGATATTCGACGCTTAACACACTCCGTATATGTATTTATTCGTCGTGAGGCCAATTTATTTTTCTTAAACCGCGGCCAAAGTTAATTCGGGAAAAATATTTCGTTTGGAACGCGTGTACGCGTTGTTAACATTGTAACAAATATTCGACACAAAGTATTTTTAACGTGACAAATAATTGTTCGAAAGATTTGTGTCGCGTTCAGTCTAACATAAAATCGAGTATGAAATAAACACGACGTTCTGGTCGATTCGAACCATTAATTATTCTCTGGACGCGTACAAACTTTTGCATTGATAGCAATCGATAAGGAGAGATGTTTTCCTTATACGTATGATACATGTGTTATGTCATCGTGACTGGAGAGAGATTTTCTTATGATCACTGCATCTCTCGGCTGAAAGTACCGAGTAATTTATTTTCCTTCGAGCTCTACAACATTGTCCTTGACTAGATTCTCGCATTTTCGAAAACAACACACACGCGCGCGCGCTCTCAGAGAGAGAGAGAGAGAGAGAGAGAGAGAGAGAGAGAGAGAGAGAGAGAGAGAGAGAGATCGGTGTTCCCTTTCTTACTATCCAGTATCGAATATTGGCACGAATTCTCAGAATAAACTAGTCTGAGATCTAGAAAAAATCATTGAAAACATTTGCTTCTTATGTTGATGTAAGATATAGGAATAGTAGAGAGCCTCATGTAATATCAATTTTTGTAGAAATTTCTGGCTAAATATCACGATTTCATTTTATAATTTGGCCTATTATTTATTTTGTAAATTGTACAATTCTTAGCAAGGCGCACGAACCAAGGGCATACGGAAGTGTTAAATCTCACGATATCAGGGGCACAACGGCATCAGAAAGTCCCATCGTTGTACACACGCACGCAAAGGGAGTCAGTCGGTATGCCGCGGTATATAGGGGCAGCTCTAAATATAGAATATGCTCGAAATATAACGAGGCGCGCAACCTTAGCCAACAGTCACGAAAGCAGTGAGTGTGTAAACGCGTCGTCCTCGAAAAATGTGCGAAGCGCGCTGCGACGAAACGTTTTGAACGGAGAACGCCGGAAGTACGTCGCGCTGTCCTGTCCCGGTTCGTTTTCTGTCAACCCATTAGTTCGACAGCTTTGCAGAGTTGGAAAAAATACGTATATTCAAATGAAAACAATACTGTTTTTTCATCTAACTTGAAACATAACTTTATTCTACAATTAAATTTCTTATTTTTATCTAACGAATAAGGGATCGATAGTTGTTGAAGCTGTTAGAGAAGAATTTTTCCCACTTCTGCAGCATTGACGAACAATTTTTTGGGCCAGTCTGGGTATTTACCAGAGTTAGACAGTGGCTATTTTCCCATTTAATAATAATCAAGATTGTCAAGTTAATCGGTAATCATAAATTACGCCTGCACCGTGCAAGCACGAGTTCCATTGTAAAACAGTTTCCATCGTGAAATTTCACCTTTTTTTCAAGGTTGCTTTGCTACAGTATTTTATCGCGCATACGTTTCTTTTGAATATAGTAAACAAGGTGGTTAAATGAATGAATAAATCAGTAGACGTGAACTACATTTGTAATCTGCAGTGGTAAATCAGTAATAGTTGCTTTCAACGCGATTCAGGATAAGGACGTCTCTCAAGCCAGAACGTTAATTACGATAACCGATTACTCGGTAACGACGATCGCGGATTACGTTTTGTCCAACACTGGTATTTACCGTCTGGCAGCAAGCAGTGTCGACCTCGCGCGCCACGAAAGATCGTTGTCGCGTTAATCGAATTTGGCGAGGCCTTAGAAAATTCCGAAGCGCCGTGAACGAACGTCGCGATCAGAAACGATCGTCTCCCACGCCTGGTGGAGTTACTTTCGCTGGTGAAACGGACGTGCCGATCGGGAAAAGGACATTTTCGGTGGTACCAGTTACGCGTGTGCGTGCAACCAGTGCCGACGGAGGAAATACGTTCTCCGCGCGTTAAATCGTCGCCCCAAGTGCCGAATATCGAATATATCTCGACGAATAATGAGCGAGGTACGATCGTGAATTCGGATCATGTTCGAAGCTCACGCGTACACATTCGGACATGCTACAGGGTGTCCAAAAAAGGACAATTGCGTCCTGTGATATCAACGATAGAGCGTAAGGAAAATGATATTATTTCCAGAACGTTCGTAGACGAAATTCATTTTCGACTTGGAGCGTCGAAATAAATTTCTATTTACGTTTATGATTCATTTCATTCAGACAAGTCATTTCTTTACTGGATTTTGAGACACCCTGTACATTTCTATGATTCGTTGGTCCTATAGAATGGCTAAACTCAATCTTAAACGAGCATTCGAGGCTCACGTTTCACTAATTCTTACTGTTGCATTGCTTTTGTTGAAAGACACCACTGTGCATGAAGAAGATAATATTCTAATCGCTGTTTTTTATGTCATTCGAGGATGATGAAGTAGTTTGACGTTTCGGTGTGATCTGTTCTCTCTAAATGAAACAATACTACTCTTTACCACGTGCTTGGACCATTGACCGACTAATCTTGACACTGTTCGTCTCTTCTTTTAATTCGATGCAGTTGTTAACGTAGACCGGACGTTCGCCAGTAGGACCATTTTAATGTTTTCCTAACTATGAAAAGGACCTTTCTAATTCAGTATTCTTTAATTTGTAATCGATGCTGGGTCAACGTAATTATATCGTTGAAACACGATTACATTAATATATTACTGGCGCAGTCGTGAATAAGTAATGCTGATGAGTTTACGAAGGCATTACTTTAACAAGTCTCAAAACTATTGGTTGCTTGAGCACTTGGCTGTACGATAGTAGTGATCGATACCAAACCGGATTCAAAGTAGTCGAACATGGCTTATCTTTCGATCGTGGTGTCTCTCGCGACATCTCTGTTATTGCAATTTTTATGAAATTTGTACGCGATGTATGGACATTTTAATAGTCCATTTTATTAAATGAATGTTTGAAGTTGTGTTGTATGTTTTTACACAGTGTGCTACACATTTACAAGACAGCGCTCATCCGTGTAAACGCCAAGTGACCTATGCCATTATTTACTCACCTTCTACATCCTTGCTCATCGTTCATGAACCGTGTAATATTTTAAGGCTATCATTTTACAGTAACCAATCGACTATTCGAATGACAGAACGAGACGATGTGTTTATCGATGCTTGTAAGCTCGTTGAAATAATTTTTTTATTCGTGTATCTTTGGGTGTGAGGATTAGTCGTGTAGGCAAGCGGCGGTCGACTATGGATCCGAGGATCGTTACTTTTCGTTTAGACTTGTATCTATAGTGGAAACTAGGTCAAGAACCTAAAAGATATAATAGCAATGTGACGATTAAATATTTCTACTTAAACTAACGTTACAAATGATTGAATATAAAGGCACAGAATTCATTTCAACGCCTGATACTTCATCGCTGTCGAATAGACATGACATACGCATAAAACATTGCTACGTAAAAGTGACAAGTTGAACTTGAAGTGCCTGGCTAATCGGTAGAGTAGGCGTTATTTCAAGTGATACTGTCGCTAAGACTCCCTTTATATTTAGAAAATTTAGAAGGGCATATGATCTGATTAATGGAAGGGCACGGATAGACCTGCGCATGTCTAAACAAAATTGACTTTATAAAGACGCTGTACCATTCTCACGCGTCTCTCGAAGCTGTCGCGTTCGTTCTTGTTCGAATCGAGTAAATAAAAAAAAAAAAAAAAAAAAGAAAGAAACGAAATCAAATACTCGCGGTCTTAAAAACGGTACCGATCTTACCTGACGGATCGAAGTTAGTATTACGAAACAACTAGAAGGACACCAGCGTCCGTCATGGTGCAACAGGCAAGTAAACCAAAATATACGTGGATGACGTTAAATTCCATAATCAATATTCGCGTGTGACAGTGACAATGTACACATTTAACTTCATATTTTCGCTCGTGTTGCACTCGGCGTAGTATGGAACGACAGAAAGTATTTTAGAAAAGTAAGAAAAAAACGACAATCGACGTCATCAATTTCAATAGGTTTGAGGATATTGGAAGGGGTATGTCACCGAGTTTCCTGTTGTTATAACAATTGTATGCTCTCCCTTTTTTCCTATGAGTTACAAATTAGAATAGAGTGTGGATTTTACGTCTTTTTTTGTGAGGAAACGATTGTTTTCTTGAACACAAATCGATCAATTGCCAACATCCGCATAGCTTTGCTTCACTCCTCCCTCCGACATCGATGCATCGTTTCAAGTGTCGTTGATTGGCTTCAATGGCTCTATTAATCATATCCTGGTGAATAGCATGAAATTCGTGTTAGGTCCTGGCTTGTCAGTTGTCGAGGTGATAACACGACTCGGAACGTTTGTTCGTACGAACCTTAATATTTAACAAATTAGCGTTTGAAAGTTTCAACATTTCGCACCGTGTAAGTGTCGAATGGAAGGCGTTCCGCAAGAGCGCGCATTGGCACAGTCGTCAAGACGACGCTCTACTCTTGTTACGAAGGTCAAGGGTACGCATCCTGTTTACCCGTTATATTCTTTTCCTACGCGTTTTCTATATCAATTATTTTCATCTTTACGCACTGTCCCCGGGGCTCGGTAAATCATTGCGCAAAACTATAGAATAGGGAATAAATTAAAAGAATGAATTAATTAGAAAGATGGTTACTAAGAAATTTATCAAATTTTGTTCCTTCAAAATAAATTGTTCGATACAAGGTCTTTCTTCCTTGACACGACAAGCGTGTTTACGCTAATTGTACGTAATTTAGAAATCGTTATCAGACGATACTCAATGTTCGTTTGTCGGTGGCCAACCCTTCTCCAACACACTTCAAAGTCATTGAAATAGATAAGGTTATTGGTGTTGCGATATATCAGCCAGTAATGTTCGTTATGTTGAATCGAACTTGGCGTTTTCGTAATTTCAGGAGCAGGCTCACGATGTCAAACAACAAATCGCGACCAGTCCAGAGGACACCGAGGACATACCTGCGGGCCAACAGGGTCCTCAAGTTCCAAGGCGCAGAGGTGGCATTTCCGCGGAGCCGGTCTCCGAAGAGGATGCGACCAGTTACGTTAAAAAAGTCGTGCCTAAGGACTACAAAACGATGGCTGCCCTGAGCAAGGCCATCGCTAAGAACGTTCTTTTCGCTCATCTAGACGAGAACGAACGCTCAGACATATTCGACGCGATGTTCCCGGTCACGTTCCTACCTGGAGAAGCGATCATTCGCCAAGGTGTCTATTTTAGAACTTACACTTATATACATATTCCATCTCTATACTCCACTTTATTACACCGTGATCCGTTTTTAGAAACGATCAAAACTATCCATATAACGTATGAAAATTAACTGATTTCAACGCACACAGAGTGTATACATACATACATACATACATTATACATGTGCATGGAGCAGGACATTTAATCATTTTATCGTTGGACGTAAAGGTTAAATGGTTTTCGGAAGGGTTGCTTAAGTGTCCTGTTTCCACTCTACATAATAGAGTTAGCTAGACGAGATTCAATTTAACTGGATGTCCCATTAAAGGTGACGAGGGTGACAATTTCTACGTAATCGATCAAGGGGAGGTTGAAATATTCGTGAACGGCGAATTGGCCACGACGATCGGGGAAGGTGGAAGTTTTGGCGAGCTTGCTTTGATCTACGGAACTCTGCGTGCAGCTACCGTACGAGCAAAAACTGACGTTAAATTGTGGGGTATCGACAGAGACTCTTATCGTAGAATCCTCATGGGTTCCACCATAAGGAAACGAAAGATGTACGAGGAATTCCTCTCTAGAGTTTCGATTTTAGGTGAGTCGGGAAGGCCTGAAAACATTGGATAAATATACACAAGCGGTTATTTGGTTATTTCACTTATTATCTTTGTTCTATTTTTAGAGTCTTTGGATAAGTGGGAACGACTTACGGTAGCAGATGCTTTAGAACCAGTGGCATTTGACGATGGTGAAACGATAGTCCGACAAGGCGAACCTGGTGAAGATTTTTATATAATTGTCGAGGGCACTGCTGTAGTTCTCCAACAACGTTCAGAAAATGAAGAACCAGCGGAAGTTGGTCGCTTAGGACCATCTGATTATTTTGGTAAATTTCTTTTTTACTCAACGAATGCGTTTGTACTTGTTAGTAATACTTTAAAATAACATATAATGTTGTTTGATTGCAGGTGAGATCGCGTTGCTCTTAGATAGGCCAAGAGCTGCAACTGTCGTGGCACGGGGCCCCTTAAAATGTGTAAAACTCGATAGGGCAAGGTTTGAGAGAGTTCTAGGTCCCTGCGCGGATATTCTGAAACGCAACATCACACAGTACAACAGTTTCGTGTCTCTCTCCGTATAAATTGTTGTTCAAACGATCGTTATCAATCACAAAGATTTCTTTTTATGACAACTGCGTTTCACTGTATTGTTAACATTTTTTTATTTGAGTAATATGTAAGTAATAACTGTATTACGTCAGCCAAAAATATGCGCGCTAAGAATTATTATATGGCGACTGCCTTTCAACCTTGTATGGTGTCGTCTCTGCACATTTGAAATTTTGTTTAAATATCGTCTTTAGTCGAAATTTCTAGTCACTCTCATCGATGACGGAGTGCTGTCGAATTTAGCGAAAATTTGTAATTCGTCTCTCTAAAAGCTAAGGTAACTTGTCACGTTGTTCTCGAATTATTCGTGCGGAATTCAAGACGTCTCTGGCGGCATATGTAATCCTGATTACACAAATTTAAATAACTTAGAAACGCCGCGATAACAAACTTTTTACGCACTTTGTAACTCGCAACACGACGCTGTACAACATAATCTTTTCGTCTCTTTTACGCGAACGTTTCCTGAGATTATTAATAAATATGCGAGAATCCTAAAAACGGTTGGATTTATAAAATTCGATTGTAAGTATTCGGAATTCAGAATTCTCAGCCACCATTATTGTTATTCAGTATCTCATTTTTATTATTTATTGTATGAAATTTTATTAATACGAATTTCATTGTTCCGTAAGAATGTTTGGAATAAGTACGGTCATGTGCATTTCATGATGTAGCGATTAATTTATATACATATACGTGTATGGTTTAGGAAAAAATATAAACGGAAAAGTATATTAAACCTGAATATTTGTATAACATTGAATTTAAGTAGTAGAAGTTCCGATGTAACGCCGCACAATTTTATCGAGGATCTGTGCACAAAGAATGAATCAAATAAATGAAACAAAAACCCTTTGAAGCTTGTATCAAGCAGTATTGAATATGATTATATGATATTAATAAAAGAACATTGTGTTGCTTGATACAATTTTGTGAATTTTGGACTAGCAATTTAACGAATACTGCACTACAATTTTCAACTCGAAACACATGTATATGTGAATACAACAACCCCTATATATTTAGTAATTATCCAGTATTCAAAAGAGCTAGCATCATGACATACACCAACACCTGACCAATTGTCAATTAATACTTACAGATTCCAGGCCCGCGTACCAAATTATAATTCTTATCGGTACGTATGTATTTATTAGTTAATATCGATACCGTTCAGCCGTAATAGAGACACGACTCGAGAACAGACTGGGCACCGCTATGGAAATAACGATTTTTCTTTATCAGGGGTACTGCTTTACTAAATATCAAAGACACGAAATTTAATTACAACGTAATAAATAAATACTATAAAGTTTTTTTATTTTATAATCGAGATTCCCTGTAAATTTATTAGATACCAGTGTAACGCATTAAAAATAATATAACATTCAAAAATTAAATAATTTATTATGCACAACACCTATGTTCGAATGCGGTCGTACAATGAATTGTCTTTTCTTCCTTCAGTAATGACCTTGTACCCCTGTACTTGGTGCATAGAGATAAAATTCTCAATAATCGAGAATCGATAACGTACTACCGAAGGGAAAAAAATATTGTCCCGCGGTAAACACTTAAAAAGATAAAAATAAATCACTCATCACACGCGAATAGCATTTGATGCCAATAAACCAGTCCCATTGAATGTTCCAACTGTCGATTTTCTAACACGTGTAACGTCGAATACTTCCACGGAGTCGATGCCTTGTATCGTTTTAACAATAAAGGCACAAACTCGCTGGCCTCCATCTTGGATTTCTTCGTATTCTTCTCTATCGCCTTGGCAATGAGTGTGCCAGTTTCCTTTCAAACCCGCAACGTCCCATTGAGAAGCCCTCGAATATCATGTCTAAGCGCGTCATGTTCTTCTGCTACGTGCCTGCTCAACCAACTCCAAGTACTCTTCGCGTTCAAACAAGGGGCGACGACCATTGCATTTTCCTTCAACGCGTGACTACGATAGTAAATCCATGGGCACGGAAGTTCTCCTTCGAAGTAGCGATAAAGTAGTCTCGTTCGGCGAAAAGATCGGCAATTGGTTAAAAGATTCCAGTTCCATGTTGTGGACAAGTGTTTAAAAAGACGCTTACGATCACCAGATACGGGCATAAAAACACATAACGATACATTAACGAAGAGAGGGACTTAGCTGTTATCGAAGAATTCAAAGTTTCACCAAACAAGAATTTTTTGAAGAGGATTTATCGCTTCCTTTTTTTTAATTTTTTGTTTTTGAAATTTCTTTTCGATTCAATACGAGCCTCGGTTTCATACCGAGTGTTGCTGAGGTAGTTGTGGATGACCGAAACAATCACCTTATTCTTTGTACACTTTTTGCTAGCCCATAAGAAATTCTTCGCTGGCGGTTATGTATACAAACATTTGGGCTGAGATTGAGATATATGTACAAATTAATGTAGGGAGAATTTTCATTTACAAGTTGTTGCTCGACTAATTCGGGTCGATCAACGAAGAACAATGATTTCAAGAGGATAGTAAGAAGAATCATCGTAATAGGGCAACGTGTATCATGATATATGCACATGCATATGCGTATGTATGTATCAGTCACATACGCATATTATACTGGGAAACATATGCATATACACACACGGGCAAGGCTTGTGCATAGAGTGTGCACGACAATGGCTTTGTTATGCATCTTCCACGAAAAAAGGGAGAGTGTCATGTTGCTTTACCAAGCACCTAGAGAACCACTGCTTGTCTTGCAGTCGATAAGATGTTGTTCAGGATCAGCATAAACCAATCCCAATTCATTGACAAATTCATAAAACTTGTCCAAAGATTCAAAGGCCAATTCTGCTACGACGAAATCAACCGCCAAATTTTGTCGGTAGCTAAACAGTAGAAGAAATGTATCATTAGACAATTGTGCGTGAACTGCGTGTACATAAAAATAAAAATAATTATAGTATGCACAAATAATAATTAAATGTAAAACTAGTAATTTTCAGCTACGATATCCTGTAACAGAAATCTATGCATGATTATAATTGTTAAAAAAAATTATTCACAATCTTCCACTTCCACCGCACAACGATATACACCTGTCCGATAACACTCTAGGAAAACTAACAAATTTCCAATAACAAACAGTCGTAACAAAGGTAATTTTATATATGTTTTTGATGAGCGTATGAAAAAATATGTAAACTATTTTTAAAAATATTAGCGATATTCGTGACTTAATGATAATGGATAAATGAAACTGATGAAATTTATGAAGCACGATCTGTGAAGAAGATAGTTTTCGCATTAATGCTTGTAAAATTACGTCAGACGTAGGTTGAAAAACTCCTAATAAATGTAAGTGGCGAATAACAAAGGTTCTAGTACATACGACTTTATCATGCACTTCAATGCATTCTTGCGTTCTCTTGCAGCGAACCAGTCCATCAGGAAAGCCGCCATTCTTGGAGCAGATGTGTACAATTTGAAAAAGGCATGGAAATTACCCAACCACCATGCAGAACGTACTTTCAATGCGTGCTTTATGCACTCATCGTTCTTGTCCTCCTTGGACAATGCTGCTAAAATAGTTGTTAAATCTGTAACAAAAATATTAATAATTCTTGTTTGCTATTCATTTGCGCTCTTACATTGAACAGTGTATGTTTTCATTCGGATTAGTTACCTTGAGTATTTTTTGTAAAAATATAATACAATATCCGGTATGCGATGAATTCACACCGATTTTCTCCACCAACATCTTGATACAGCATCCTCAACTGTGTCTGACACTGATTGAACTCTTCGTGATCACCTTTTTCTAAAGCTACGCGGGCGTGTGTTTCATATACATGGACTGTAAATGCATCTCTTATACCTTGGACGGTAAGGTCTTGACGAATAGATTTAAGTTGATCACAAGCATATCTATAGTCTTGTTCAGCCACCCAGCGCTTCTTGACATGTGCCAAAGAATTTTGGAGTACACTTACCGGTCGTACAGCGGAGGGAGCTGGAGCCTGCGAGCACAAGGTACAATAATATAATGTGTTTTTAATATTATTCGTTTTAGTAATTTACAGTAAACAAACAAATAAATCTTACAGATGTCAGACGCAAGTAAGGCTTCTCTATGTCCTTGCATATCCCAACAATGTGAAGTCCAGTGAAATCAAAGTCACCAGAGGAATCATCTTTAACACCATTGCTGACCGTCCTAGAAATACTGTCGTTAAATCTTGCAGCGCGTTGCTGCAATTTCTCCTTGGACCCTAGTTCCTCAGTGTTGCCTGTAGCTAAACCAAACTCTGAATAGAAATGTGATTTCATCTGTTTAGTCTTCTTCGTTTTCTTCCCGCTGTGATTTTGTTTGTTTTTAGTAGACTTTTTGGTTTTTAACGACTTATAATCATGCTCCCGATCACTAACGTTGGACGAAGACGACGTGCTACGCCTGTACTTTCGGGATGGTGGACTACGTGTATTCGAACGCGACCTTGACTTCGATCTCGACCTCGACCGCGACTTCGACCTTGATCTTGATCTAGTTCTTGACCTCGACCTCGACCGTTTGTGATTCACAGAGAGGCGCGCGCCAAGCCGAGCCCCGAGAGAAGTAGAGAGACCTGGCTTGCGCAAGCCTCCCTGTGCATTCATTAGCGGATTCGCCAAATTATTTAACTTTAACGCTGGTTTTTGAGGCTTTATCGTCATAGTCATACGTTCGCTGTGAATGCTAGGCAGAGGCTCTTGGTCCCAGTCCTTCACCCAAAGCGAGCCATCGTTCGCAGCACGTGTAATTTTTCCTTTCAATATAATCTCAACTTGATCCTTGTCGACCGCTGTTTTACACTTTTCGTAACATCTGTTTACGTAGTTCTTCAAGCTATCGGGCCAATCTCCAACTGGACTGGCAGTTGTCATGACAGAGGAAGTACCTACCGCTGGGCTACCAGCACTAGGAGTTGTATTAGCAGTTGTAGTAACAGGTGTAGTAGGAGTGGGAGTTTCCTCGGTCGGTGGAGGAGGAGCTGCTACTTCACGCTGCGCGGGGGGTAAGGGTGGTAATTCGGTCTTCAAATTGGGACCAGGTACGAAATTCGTTGTTGGACTATTCGCCTGAAAGCTATTGTTGAATTGAGCCGCTAAGTTTTTGTTCCGCTTACGTTTTTTCTTTGCAGCTCCACTATTGCCAGACGGAGTAAACGCCAAGCCGTTTTTCTTGTTTTGCGCATTGAAACGAATTTGATTATTATATTCTGAAAGCAAAAATATATTTGTACATACGACAGAAATTAAACATTCTCCTCTGTTTAAAGCAGTAGTGAATTTACAAAACTTACGCGACACATCCCCGTGCATTCCATTCCAATTACCATATGGAAACGAGTTGTACACATATCCTGGATGGGACTGCATCAGTGGTTGTATTTGATTATTGTGCTGTTGTAAGATCTGCATCGACGGTGGTGGCCCAGGTGGTAAAGGGGGAAGGTCGGCATCGTCATCCAATGACATTGGTGTTCCAGGTACAGGTGGTTGTTGATGAAGCTGTTTTCCTTGACTGTTGCCCTGCTGCTGCTGCTGCTGCTGTTGTTGTTGTTGCTGCTGCTGCTGTTGCTGCTGCTGCTGTTGTTGTTGTTGTTGCTGTTGCTGCTGCTGTTGCTGTAGTATCTGCTGTGGAGTAAAAGGTTGTCCATACCCTGGCATCATTGCATGATAATAATTAAATATTTGCCCTTGATGAGGTACACCTTGATACCCAGGTCCATACAA